GAGTTGCTTGAGCACCCACCATTGCGACTTTCCGGCGTTCATGTTCTTGGCCTCTTCGACGTGGATGGTGATGTGACGGACTTTCATCCGGACTTGCTCGTCCGTTCCATTGGGGAAAATCTTTCGAATAACCTTCTCGGCCTCTTGTTCCTTGCCGTGGTAGATCAGCTGTCTTGGCGACTCTGGGCAGAAGGGCAGCATGCACGCCAGAATGATGGCTGGAATCGCGCCGCCGCCAACCATGTAACGCCACCCGCCTTGTACGTGCGCGAAGCCGGCACCGACGCCATAGCTGACTAGTTGGCCGCCCGTGATGCACATGTTGTCGAGACCAATCATACGACCGCGGTATTTGGCAGGGGACAGCTCGGCAATGTACCTGTTTTTCATGTTAGCGAGGGTCCATCACCATCGAATCTTGCGCCATTTGATGCTATTGTAACATACATCGGAATGATCATGGCTGCGGAGCCGACGCCAAACCCAACGACCAGACGACCGACGGTCATCAAGGCCAGCGAGTTGGCGGCAGCTTGAATGATAGCGCCGGCAGTGAACAGAAAGCTGCCGACGTAGATGGCAATCTTGCGCCCGAAGCGGTCTGCCGTGGCTCCCGCAAAGATGGCACCGATGAAGGCGCCACCGGAGGTGATAGACGTGATGAGCTCCTTTTCAGACGAGGAGAGGGTGTGCCCGAGATCATTGTCGATGTAAACCAACACGGCTGATATGATGCCGGTATCGTAGCCGAAGAGCATGCCGCCGATGGCCGCGGTGATGGACACTAGCCATGAGAACTTGCCCGTCTGGGTCTGTTCGATAGAGTCGAGCCCATCAAGGCTGACTTGAATCTCAGAGGAGCCGTCAGCTACGGTTTCCTTGTGCTGGGTCAATTCTTTGAAGTCTTTGGTTTCCATAATGGCGGTGCGTTGCGTACAAGTGGCCGAGTCAAGGTATGAGTTGTTTTGTGTTTGAATGGGGATGGCAAAAAGAGGCGATTATGACTACGAGAGAAGGAGGAAAGGTCCCAATTGGCTTGAGGGGCAGTACTCCGTAGATTGCTGTGATAATCTGGGGAAGAGCTGGGGTAGAGTGAAGTCTTTATATCAGCAGTCGGAGTGAGGACCTGAGGGCGTGCAGTGAAGCAATAGGATTGCCCCGAGTAAGGTGTTGGTTCATCAGTGGCGTCTTGCTAGACTTTGACGAGGGCCCAATTAGCTGGTAAGAAAGTAGAAAGCTCTACTCGAGTTATCTTCAATGGCACCCTAGTTCGCGCAGGTTGGCTGATCTCGAGGGAGATGGAAGGTCACGATACTGTGTGAACCAATCGTAGGATGGCAAACACCGAGAAATACCTTAGTCCTTCATCCATGTCGGTAGAAGTGCCAAGCCAAGTCGAAGTCTAGACAAGCCCAGCCATTGAAGCTTCCCCCGGATTTTCCCCAGATTCGTGTAATGAACAAGATAAGTCGTATCCCGCGGGACTCTTGTCCCAGCCCGGTATCCATCCGGAAGTTCAAACCAGCCTAGGGGTATGTGTAGAAACCTCCATCTCATCACCACGAGGGCGAGTTAGTCTAGTGCCGGTGCTGTACGGCGCTGGTGGAGTTCTTAGCGGTGTATGCAGGGCGCGTGCGGGGGAAAGTTGCCTATCCAGTTTCAAATAGGCAAGTCGGTCTTATTTCGCTCGCGTTTCCTATTTGACCTGCTTTCATCCATGTCCACTTCATCGTCTCCCATGTCTCCCGCCTACCGCCAAAACCCAACGACTTTCCCGCTTTGGCCGGGTTGCCTAAATCCAATGTCAGTAGGCCATTGTTGCAAGTTGCCAACCTGGAAAGCAGCCGTTGTAGCAGTACTCGTCAGTCGCCGTTCTACGTTTCTCGTCCCCCCCGGCGCCCCCGACACCAACTCACCACTCTCACACAATACCGTTTTGAGTCTTTCTCCCCCCTATGAACCGTCAAATCAAGGCCCAGGAAATCTCTGCCCACCGGCTGGTTTTGTTGTATGCCACTGTCTGCGCGGAAACCACACGTATCAGCGCATATAATCGACGCTGGACAAGTCCAGTGCGCGGCGGGTCCAGAATATGAACCGAGTACAGACCCGGACAAATCCGTGTAACGTCAGTATTCTTTCCAATTCTGTCACTTCCCTCAACCCCGTCGCGTCCCCTCGTCTGTCTTAGGGCCGGCGAACATGTCCATGTCTGCGTGGCGTAGGATCACAGTTTTTACCCGATGGAGCCATCTGCGGTTTGTGATGCCACCAGGAACAGTTTTGTTGACACGCGTGCTGTTGTAGATCTGCAGGTTAAGGTAAGTTTCGATTCCGAAAGTTGTGTATTCCGGCGAGATGGACCTGGCAAGGCTCATGGTTCACGATTGTTCCCGCACGCCTTCCAAACCCGGTCTTTCTCAGCTATCATGAATGCCTATCCTAACAACATGCTTGGTTCTCCACGCTAGACACCTCAAATGTAAGCGACCCGATTATCCATTTTGCGGCTCCTTTACCTCCCGCCGGTATCTGTACCATCCCACCGGGAATTTGTCTGTGGCTGAGGCCCTTTGGCGCCGTATCTCAAACTCGGCGAATATTTCCTTGATTGCGGTCCATGCTTGTCACTAACCGAGACCACGTGCAGGTGATTCAAGTCGATCAACGTGTTCCAATTGTCGAAAGTCTGGAGTCGAATGTACCCGTGGATATAGTGTACGCTTTAGGCACACACTGAACCCTAGGTTCGTGGATCCAAGTTCAGTAATCATACCTCAGCCGAGCCCCTCCAGCTGACTTGAACCTTGCTTCTGCGATTAGTGTCCAGCCAGAGAGAGGAACTGGGGCTGCCAAAAGCGAGTACAGCTTCTCAGAACAGCAAACTTGGGTACGAACAACGAACCGCTCTTTCAGCTTTGTTGACGAGACCGAAGATGTGGTCAACATCCATGCTGTTGTCACCGGGGAGCCCGGGGCCGACGACGGCAGCGCGAACACCTACTTAGGGACTCCACATAGACATGAAAGTCCACAGGACTACCTTGCTTTACTATCTGCTGCTTCTTCTCCAGTTCCAGATTTGCTGTCTCACTCTCGAAGCTCAGGAATAAAATCGCACGCCTCACATGATGCCCTCTACGGCCGGGATGGCATCAGGAAGCAACGAAGACACTTGCGACCCAGTCCAAACACGAGCTCTGCAACACAAGATGCCAGACAAAATCCAGCCAAAGAGTTCCATCATCACGACGACACGTCTGCATCGAGCGGTCATACTGGAGCCTCGATACAATGGGATCTACTTCACCTTGGAGAAGATTTGACACTAGATTTTCCAAACATCCAACACATCTTTGAAGCGATAGATCCCCAACTAGAAGACAAATCCACCGGCAACGACAGAACCTACGTCGAAACACCACTATGGCCCCTTCAAGACCGTCAGGAAGCCTTCCTCTACAGATACTTTGTCGACAACCTCGCACCTCTCTTCGACATGTGCGACAACGATAGACACTTTGCCAAGGTGGTGCCGAAGAGAGCAGTCTACTGCCCGACACTACTGAACGCGATGTTTTCAGCTTCCGCAAAACGTCTTAGTCGAACAATTGGCGTTGATGGAGTCATTGCCGACCGATACCATCAAATATGCCTTCGCTCGTTGATCCCGGCGCTCTCGTCCTCTACCGCCGTCGTCGACGACAACCTTCTGGCTGCTGTTGTAATCCTGCGCTTCACGGAAGAAGTCGATATCGGTTCCATGACCCTCGAGTCCCATCTGATGGGTACTAGAATCCTGCTGGCCGCCCAAGAAAACGCCGCCGATTTTAGCGGTCTGCGACTTTCTGCATTCTGGCTCGCCCTGAGGCAAGAGATATATATGGCCTTCGTTCACACACGCCCAGTCTATCACAGCTTCTTCCCCAGCATCAAACGGATACAGGAACGCGGTAACAGCGACGAGAATGCCGTGGATTGCCATTATGCCAACAAAGCCGTAAGCATTTGTGCAATGTGTCTAAGCTACTGTTACGGCCAGGAAGACAACCATGTAAGGAGTTATGCGCAATTGAAAGAGGACCTTGATGTATGGTGGAAAGAGAAGCCATGGTACTTCGACGCCATGTGGGCAAATCCAGAACCTGGTTTTCTGCTGGAAGAACAGTACATCACCGATGCCGCTGTCGCTGGGTTACAGCACTATCACCTGGCGCGGATGCTCTTGATCGCCCACAACCCTAAGGTTGCGAGGCTTGGTACGGCTTTCCGGGCAATGGAGGAAGAACTCAAACAGACCGTTCGTGTGATATGTGGCCTTGCAGTGGTAAGCTTGCGGTTCATCAACGCCATCGATTTAGGGGAAGTTGCCCGCTAACTGCCTGCTTCTCCGTAAACAGGCGAACGAGAGAACACCTCCAGCATACGTGTAAGTGCCATCAAGTGGCAAGCAAACACCCTCCTCAAACATCTTTTGACCGACGCGATACAATAGGAACGCATGCATAGCAATCACCATGGCGGGCGATCGTTTTACAGATCGGAAAGAACAAGAGGAGTTGTACAAGATCCTTGTCAAGACTGACAGGCGGTTGGGGTGGCCGACTCATGCAGCGTAAGTAGACCCTCGCGCCAGCCCTTTGGCCACTGCAACACAACACACTAACAGCGAGCAGACAGTCTCAGATCAGAGAGGCTTGGGGCTGGGAAGACTCCCCATCACCCCCTGCGATGCCTATTGCGGCCATGTTAAACGCCCGCGCACGAGCTGGGACGGCGGATTGATCAGAGTCAACCAGCGAGCAAAGCAAGCTCTAGCGTTCTGTATAAACCTGTTAGTTGATAACGACTCGCACTTGCTCAACCCTTGCAACTACTTCACTTACTTGCGTAAGGGGTCGAGAAACAATTTACTTGGCATTGTCTATCAGATGACCACACTCTTTGCAAGCCTTGCTCCGTCTACCTAATTACGTGTTTACATTGGTGACTACATGTGATTATTCTTCCTGCTTTGACTCCCTGCGCCAAACCTTCAAAGGCATTGGACTCGGCATCAGGTTCATGGCCTCCCGCCTCTCCGGTTCCCACGCGGGGAAGGGCAAGGCGAAGTTATATCTGTGCAAGACACTCGCCAACAAAACCGTCTGCTCCAGGTAACTGATATTCCGTCCGATGCATCCTCGTGCGCCGGCACTGAAACTGACAAAGTACGGTTGCAGTTCCTTGCCCTTGTCACCGAGCCAGCGCTCCGGGATGTAGGACTCGGGTTCCGGGAAGATCTTGGGATCTCTGTGGACGATGTAAGCCGAGATGGAAACCGTCGTACCTCCAGGGATGAAATCTCCAAGAACATACGCCCCCTCAGGCGGCGTTCGTCGCGGAAGACCAAAGGTCGTTGGCGGCACTATCCGGAGAGACTCGTCGAGACACGCCCTGAGGTACGGCAAGTGCTTGACCTTGTCGTAGGGCGCAACCACCTCTTCAGGGTCCAGAACGGCATCAATTTCCTCGCGCAACTTTTCCATGCATCTGGGATTCTTCAATAGCCAGTACATGACGTTGTTCATGGCGATGGCTGTTGTGTCTGAGCCGGCATTCATCATGATGGACACCTCTGCGACAATCTCGCCCCAGTCGAGCCCATTAGGGGTTCCGTTTTTATCCTCCATCAAAGCCTGGAAGAAATCTTCCAACTTTTCACCAGCCTGGTAGCGTTTCAGTCGTTGGGTTGCGCGGTGGTAGACGATGCCATCCCATCCCTTGTTCAGGTTCCACCATCGACGAAAAGTTGGCGAGATCAGAGACGTCAGACGATGATTGAACTTGTACCAATCACCAGCCCAAACGGTGATGGACTGGGCGACGGCAGTGGAATGCAGGCAGGCTCTGTAATTCACCTCGTGAATGGATCCGTCCATGCGCTCGGCGCGCACGAGATCATGACCCTGGTCTAGAAATCCCAGTTTCTCAGACAGACCTATATCAGCGATAGCGTCGAGAGTGAAGTAGTTCGTCCACGCTCGGTAATCGAAAGTAAGATCGGCCGCGTCTGGACGAAGGACCCCCTTCAGAGGTTGGGTACAGGCCTTGTCGCAACCGACGATGAAGCGTTCAGTCTTGTCAGCCACTTTGTGTTCCCAGTTCTCGAGGTTCTTCAATGCGTATGCCGCCGACAGAACCTTGCGTTTCCGGGCGTGGTCTGCCTTATCGACTACGTCGGCTAGGTGGAAGTGAGTTCCAGCCAACGTCTCGTAGAACTCGCCCTTGAGACACTTGGTTCCGTGCCCGTAGATGTCCTTGATTGCATCAATGGTACCGTACGAAAGCGAGTTGGGCCCTGTCCGAAGCACCGGATGTTTCTTGTGCTTCTCATAGAGAGTCTTGGATCGGAAGCCGAGTGCAGCTTCGCGCATGAAAACTAGATTGGTCACGCCGGCTAAGGGCTTGAAAGCCGGAAATCGACGAAGTCTTTTGGGGTCTCGGAAGTATTCGATCAAGGGATAGACGATGAAGTAGAATAAGACGCTCAGCAAAGCTGCCAAGGGAAGTACAATTGCGTACATGATGAGGTCCTATCTCAGCTGGCTTGGAAGGCTTGTTTGCAGAGGTCTGGTGTAAGGAGTTTGATACTTCGATTCCGACGCTAGCTAGCACATCAGCACGGCATCTCACTTGTGATAGCGAGCTTTGAAATAGTCATTCTGTCCAGTGCAATCAGCTGACTTCAAGATCAAACACAAACGCAACGGGATATGTATCCCGCGGAGTGCCAGCTTTGGAGACATCACAACAGTCATTCTCATGCTCTTCAGGCGCCTCTAGTGCAGGCGGACAAAAGCAAGAGGACGACAAATTGCCTATTTCGTCACCCAAGGGGTCCCTGTCAGACGAAATTGGCGTCTTCTGATGGGTCCAGATCAATGCTCACGGCACATGGCGACGTTGACCATCTCTAGTCTCACGCACTCCCCGCATGCCAAGATCGAGTTGATCGGACCCAACTTTCCTATCCAAGACGTCTCGGATTGGAAGTTGCCTATTTGGAGAATACCCCACGTTCAGGCGTGGCGTTTGTTCAGGAAAGGAAACTTGTCAGCCGCAGTAGATCGCGCGACTTGCCTATTTGACTTCAGATAGGCAAGCCCAGTTCCAGTCTAGGCAAGTCGGCAGTCATGCATCGCGCCGCGTGTTTCCAAACTCGATGTCCCGCCCACATGGATAGTTACACAAGCGCCGGGAAGGTTTGGATGAAAGCCCGACGACAACTTACCTTGGAGACCTCGATTTTTAATCCCTAAGTACAGGTACTTGATGACGGGAGGTAGCTTGTTTTCACCCCCTCCCCCCGATGTCCAACTAGCCACTTGCAATCGAAGGGCTCTTTACGTTTTTGCTATCAGCTCAGATACGCCAACTGGAGAAGACAAATCCAATAAAATCCTTCACGAGTCCATCGATACCCACGCGTTATTGGCCTTTTCTCATTCGCTATCAGATGACTACTGAAAAGCCACAATTGATTTCTTTCCGAAAAGACTTGTCACCCGTTGGAGTGGCATTGGCCTAATCCTTGTTGTTTTATTGCACCTGAATAGCGTGATGCTGACCCATCGAGTACTCGCCTTTCTAACACGGGCCTTTCCACTCAATTCAGGTTTGTTATAGTTACGATTTCCGACACAAGATCCTATTTCGGGACCTTTCGCCGACTTTTGTAGTTTTGTCTCACCGGCTTGAGTACCGGTCAATAATGATTTGCCTCCCCTAACCTAAGATATGATCACCAACTCTTCCATACTGAGTGAGAGTCATCTCCTTTCAAAACAGTCTTCATCTTTCTCATCATGAAGTCGAGCTTCTAAACTTATTCCCATCACCATTTGTCTTGTCAGGGTTGCCGAAAGCCATACTGACGAGACCTCTAACTTCCTAGAGGAACAACTGTTCCAATTCCACACATGATACTTATCCGCTGCATTCTTATAGGTACCTTGATTATTCTGGTTATTGCCAATTCCCGGAACACCTTCGCTTAGAGAGTGTTACGAACTCAGCAAAACGATGACTACAACTCCTCCACAACACTGATCTGCCTTTTGTTTCCTCTTTTACCAATTATCCCAGCCTTGATGGTTGTGAGTACTTCATCGGGGACTCTCACTCCTCCTCGGGAATTGAGCATCTGAGCATCCGCCATTTTGTTTACGTGTTCCTTCAGAGACCCACGGTGCCAAATGCTTCAAGTCACCAAGATCCACTTCTTCGGGCTGCTCGTCCGGTGGCCTATTATCACCATCCCGACTTGAGTGATTTGCAGCTAGTGCTTTAGTATCGCGTTCATCCTTTACGGCGGGCAAAACACCGGTTGAATGGTGTCCGATTCCCAGATCCACATGGCTTATATCCCGAAGAGAATGATCAGGCTCACCGTTGTCGTTGTCAACAGAAATTAGTTCGTGCAACCGATCGCTCGGTCGCAAGACACTATCCCCAAAAGTCCTCATTCTCGGCCTAGCACCAAATATGGAGTTTAAATGTTGAACTGTTCGTCTCCGTCGTAAAAATAGACGACGGAAATAGTCTCTAAAGGCAGGCATGCAAGAGCAGAAGATGAAGCCGTTTAACTCGACGAATGACCAGTTAGAGATTGGCACAATGTCCCCTAGTAAGCGTCAGTACTCGCGTTTGCAACAAAACAACCAACTCACATGTCGGATTCGAAGTCTTCATGAAATCTTTGATAGAGCTGAGTCTCAGAATGGAGACAAAGGTGATCCTACAACGTATATTAGCTCTTATCAATCCCACATTTCCGGGTTCCGCAGGGCACAACTCACAACAATGCTACAGCGAACATCATACCGGCCCCAACCTTCTGTCTCCATCGCCAGTTGAGCCTGACGATTTGAGAAATGGGCATCGCTACTACAATAACATCAAGAGCAATATTGACCGATGCATGGGCCCAAGTCTGAACATTAATATCGTGGCAACGGCCTTGGTGTTCTCCATCCCACTTAGTCCAGGTGTAGCTGATGGGCCAGCACTGAACCGAAGTCGCAACTAGGAATGAAACGGCTGATATGACGCATGCCCATATGACACCCCAAGTCAAGCGCCTAAACTTTTCATCGGAAAATAGGCGCAAGTAGAAGAACAGGAAATTGGTCTTCGCAAACATGACGGTGAATGCGTAAAAGTGCTCTCCGATGTAGAACAGCTTGCCGAGTCGGGTAAGCTTGGACTCTTCTCTTTTTGCGAACCTCATTGTCTGCCATTGCACTTACTTTGAAGAACTCGTTGATTTGCTCCGGTGTGAGTGTCCAGATGTCTTTTCCGAGGCCATTTTGAACCGCTGCAACACGGGTTAGATTCCATTCCAGGATTCTTTCCTCCGTGTATGGCTGAGGACGGCTTACTGAACACAACAACCACGCTCATAGGTACTGACATCAACTAGACCAATTTTACTTTAGTCAAGGTACAGGTCAAGTCGACATTTTGTCGTCATAGAGAAACATACCATTGAGAAAATCAGGGCATAGTCATCCAGTCCAATTATATAATCCAACCGTGAGAGTTGGGAGTACATGCGGACACCAACACTGAATACAGCCACAATAGCCCCTGCTACGGCACTCGCAGTGGCTGAGGGACCTCTATCTCGATTGGGAAGTCCACAAATGTCGAATATGATTCTTTGGCTCTCTGCATTCATCAATATGAATCCTGTTAAAGGCGTCGAAGGCGGAGAGGCACATACTTAGTCCATCGACGACAGAGCAGTTTTGATAGCTGCAACCGATTATTCCGTACAGTTGTTGCTCTGCGCAAAGAAATTTGATGGCGGCTTGTGCACTCGTCGCTGATGCGATTATTGTCGAGACGCAATGACTCTGAAAAGCGGCATAGCATTAGTAGTCGCATGAAGACTCGCGACTTTGGCGTGACGATCAGGGAACTTACCGCGCATTCCGGCAGAAGGCTCTCGATACCCAAGCCCTGGGGTATGGCACTTGACACTAGAGTTGAGTCCATCATTCATCTCGGTAAGTCCGGCCAACGACAACTTCGACAAGACTAGGGATTGGCGACAAACCAAGCACATTGGTCGCAACGTCTTTCGATAGAGACGTTGATAGTTGCAGACGTACACAGGAGCGTAACTGGGCCGATCCGTATTTGAAAGATCTTTTCTTCGAAGAAGATTCCCCCATGTTCGCCCTGAGATTCCACATGACGTTGCTTCTCTATTTACGGCGGTGCTTGAATCAGGGCTACCCCATTTCATTGTTGACATTTGGTCAATCTAAGCTCTATTGAGATTCAGAGTGCAACGGCTCAGTCTGGATCAGGCTCTTGCGCCAATCAATCATGTCCGATGTGCACTTATAGTTCAGCCGGTGCCATCTTAGCTGAGTGTCGGATCACTTTGAATTTCAGTAGTGGGCAAAGTTGGGACTAGCACGCCATAGCACAGGGGCCAGCGTGCTGTCGAATGCGTGCTTCAGGGGACAGACAGGCTTCTCCGCAGGGCAGAAAATATACTAAGAAAGGAGAAATAAGAGTTCAACGTTTCTACAAGCATCAATCAGATGACTCTTGGCAACACAACCAAGGTCAACCCATATCGTTCTAATGTAGATGCAGCAAAACAGTCGCTGTTCTGCGTGTTGATCTTTCTAGCTAGAAATTGCACAAGTTGCAGGGCGAATGGGCACAATAGCGTGATTCTTTTTTCCCTCTGTAACTCTTCCACCTTAGCGACAACTTGATGGCAAGATGGCAAGACGAGGAATTCTAGACTTTCTAGATTGCAACGCGTGCGTAGCTAGAAGTAGTGCAGCAGCGAGATGTATTTGGTTTTGACCAAGTTAGTACCGTCATACAATTGCTTCAGTGACATGTTTGCGTTCTTGTTTACCCTTCTACCTGAAACCCGTGGCTGACTCACTTTTAGCTACGTTGCAGAGGACAGCGACAAAAGAAGCCATGCATAACGTCACAACAATTCGAATGATGACTTCGAGCAAGCCCTCTGAGCGGCTACACGGTAATGACTGAACCTTCTGTATAAAAGCTAGCATAACGCTCTTGAGCTTGCAGCCTCAGAGCCAAGTATTCCCCTCCGTCGATCCCGGCACAACACGCCATCTAACTATATATATTGCGGGGGAAGAAGAGGTGTAAAAGTTTCCGAAATGTGTTGACAGATCATCGTGCTTTGATAATTCTCTTGGTCTCTACCTCTGAACACCAATCTAAACACCAACGGGAGTCTGGCAAAGGACAGCCTGGCCGAGCTGTAGTAATAATTGTTAGAAAACGAGAAATAGACGTTGATCTTCGATTTATACTACTCACAACGGAAATGACACAGCAGCGGGCACGCTGACCAACATTGGCACAGATGCTTCTGAAATTGCTGGCCGAAGTCGGCACGTTCGTAGCTGTTGTCGGAGCTATTAGCATCGTTCACTTCACCTCTCTCTGATTAGTTCTGACTTACGAGAATGACAGTCAAGATCAGCAGCTCCCAGAACATCGGTGGCACAGCACTGAAGGCTGCTGTAGAGACCAGAGCAAGCAACATAGGGAGCAGAGCCGCCGCCAGTGTTGCCGGTAGGAATGGCGATGACGGCAGTGGCCAAGATCGAAACGAGAGCGGTAGTGAACTGCATTTTGAAAGAGATACGATGATTGAGTGAGAGTCTTGAGTGACCGAAGAAGAGCTGGGAGCTGCAGGTTGCTTTGAGTAGGAGATAGAAGAGATGGTTAATTATGATGACTAGATATTGATTGAGAAGCCTGGCAACTGCAGACATTATATATCTGAGTCCAATTGCCGCCGTCACTGCTCATACGACTAAACAGATCAACTTGATAAATGGTCCTCTTGCATTTCCGCCACCATGTCACTGTTTGTGCAAAGTCCTGCGGCATAACTTCACCTCACCATTGACACCATTTCCCAGTCATCGCCGGACCAAAGGCACACGATGGGGTTCGTGAAGCTTTCGGCAATTCGGTAAGAAGAACTCATTGCCAACGACTTGTGTATGCTTGGCAATATTGGCTTGGCTGTCCACTTTTAGTCCGAGAAACTGAGGTGTAGGTAAATCCACCTAACACGAGCTACATAAGACGGGAGCGGCTGCTCCCGTGCGGGTAAAAACGTGAGAAGTGATAAGGAATTCTGCAAAATTCCCGAAAAAAGTAATGTCCAACTTCATGATGTTGTTCGGGGATGCAGTTCGTCTGAATCCGGGTGGTGTGAAGGCGTTGGTCTGGTCCGGGATGATAATGGAAATTCGCCTACAGCCGCTCCCGCCTGTCAAATGCAACATTCCCCGCCCTCAGCTCGACTAAAAGCGAATCAGGGGAAGAGGCGATTCTCAGCCCAGCCTTCGACTGGGAATAAATCACAATTGTGGCGCTGCAAGTACAGGCATGCCTGCAGATGATCAGCGCTGTCTACTGCCTCGTACCTTGTTTAGTGAATCAGGAGAGTCTTTCCGCAGGCGAAGTATAGTAGAGCAGGAAGGTAGGTATATGCAGCTAAAGTAACTAACCATTTGTGCAACGGGTATGCTAATGTGCATAAGGCTGGGCCCGTTGCTTTGAAGAACTTACTAGGAATGTTGAGTATCTTTCAAGACGTATTATCATTGTAATTAAACCTGCGCTTTGGGACTTTGCTGCTGCTGCTGTAAGCCACTTTCACGTTGCATAAGACTACGAACTGATGCGATGAGCTCTGAATCTGGGTTCCCCTTGGATACCACCACTCCCTTTCCATAAAGAAAATGCCCAAGGTATGAGATATGTGCAAATTAAGCCAAAAGTTCAGAGATGTGTTGGCAATTACCCATCCTGATTCATCAATCATTTCCGTGGAAAGAAGTCCTGCATGTTCGACATTGAAATTTGAAGATCCACACCGGTTGTTCACGCATGATCAGTCACACTACTATGCATGGGTTAAGCGTTCAGTCCTAGTAAACGGTGCTTTACATGGGTTGTGGACGACGCGGGTAGAGGCCTGCAGCAACCTAGAACCTAAATGCAACAATAATATTCCCAATGCTACCGAATCAATGATCAAGACCCAAATTTGCAGCGCAAAGATTTTCTAGGCAACGCACAAATGAACCAGGTGATGTAACATAGAGAGAGCTAAAGCGGAAACCACTGCGATATCTGCAGACCATGGCCATCTGGTCCTTTTCCGTCTGATCATTAATCGTCATGCTTTTACAACATATTCCAAGAAGTTGACAGGCAACTGAGACCTGTGGATCATGGCCTAGGCTTTGTGTCCCACAATTTCCGCCACCTCGTGCATCCGGTCTTGCATCCGGTCCTGCTCTTCGAATTTTTTCACAACTTGCAGAGTGGCAAAGTAACTGAATGGTAGAGCGATGAACCAAAGACCGCAGTTGATGCTTGCTGTAGCAATAAGGGGGGTTGGAACGGCTTGGATCCCGAAACCCACTGCTACCGCTGCCGTCTCGATGCCACGAAGCAAAGAGCTATACCGAATCTGGTCGCCGGGCGAGTCCGACAGATTTCCGATTGCCCAGTAGATGAAGTTCTCAATCATGCCAAGAGACGCTCTTTCCAGCATATAGAGCCCAAATCCGCGTCCGAACTCGCTCTGAAAGGCCCAATCCAGGACAGGGAGCGTGAATCGATACTCATTTTGGATGATGACAGCCCATATCCAGGTTGCAGTGTTGAGACAGACTATCAGCGAATATGTTGCTAGAGCTCGTGTCTGGCGATTCTTGGACCACGGGAGATCCACAAGTGATCCTCCGAGCCATGTCGAGAAAGTGCTTACGATAGCTGCAACGAAACCACCCAGCGCTCTCGAGCGCACGCTGAAGTATGTTGCAAGGTAGGTGCCAGGGTATGCTTGAATCCAGCCAAAGTACCAGAATAGAGGTGTCAATAGAAGAATTGAACGGCTTCTGACTAGCTTCCACATCTCGAGGAGCTCTGTCCGCCAATGAATCCCTGTCGGCGCTTCGATGCGACTTCCGTCATCCCGTATGACCTTGTCGGGGTTGGATAAGAAGAGACCCAGGAAGAAACCGAGACATTGTATGCCGATGAAGGCAAGGTACAGCTCGTATCCAACCTTGCCCTTCTGATTAACCTTGTGGTTGAGCGCTAGCGAGATGGCGCCACCAATAATCATGCCAAAGTTGCGGAAGGTGAACCACGTCGCGACGTAACGGCCTCGCTTGTGGTTTTCAGGATATCCCGTGGCAATCGCTCCCTCGACACTGTAGAAGAATCCAGCACTTATGCCGCAGGCAACCGAGCCGAAGTAGACGAGCCATGTTCCACCTGTCCGATTGTTGACGTAAAGGCCGGCTGCATAGAGGGGATACCCAAGAGCACCAACTGCCAAAGTCCAGCGGAATCCAATCAGGTTGGTAAGGAACGGGCCAGCGAAGCAAGTCAACGTCATAAAGGCGTAAAGGAGAGCATTCGCTGCGTTGACCAGATCTGGACTTTGTGAACCGCCGACGCCGAGTCCATTCATAGCACTCCATATTCCCGGTGCACAGAAAGCACAGAGACCAACGATGAGTATCTGAAAGAGAGTGCTCCTGAGAAACGATATGGGTTGCGACGGAGGCAGCGGCTGGTTGCCGGGCTCGATTTCTGGCTGGCGAAGGTCGGCCACCTCGATAGACATGACTGGCTAAGTTGCTGACTGGTACGATGGTCGAATTTTGACTCGAATATGCTTGATGATGAATTGAAAAGGTTTGACGGCAGCGAGACAAGACCCCCTCTTCGAAGACCTTGATGGTTGCAGTTGCTGGAGGGCCAACCTTTATGGGCTGGTGTAAAATCGGAACCTCCTCAGGCAACTATTTACTTCACTTAGGGACTTGAGATAGACCTCAAATCCGCCTCTGTAAAATTCCCACTGCATGAGATTTGCTTGCAGGGTCACGAATTACGTGCTCAATTTTCGTCCCAACGTCGCACCAATCGACAGTCCTGAACCAATCTCTTGAGCCTTACGAATGGTAACGCAGACCCCGCATCAGGGGCGGTCGGAAGCAGTCAATACGAATGTTTATCCGTTGGGAAGACTTGTTCGTCGTAGATCATATAATTATGGAAGAGCCGGCGTGTAGCCCATTCGCCGTCGATGAGTTGCCTAAATGCTAGCAACATGGAGCTAGCAACAGGATCGCATGTATCCATCATACAAAAGAATTTGCGTTCTCTCTTGCTTAGAATACGGCACTCGGAATATCGCGATATCGTTTCAAGCATGTATGAACCCTGAGTCCATAACGAAGAGCGAAGTTAAGCATGTGTTTGGGCCTTGATACATTCAACCTCAACTGAGGTGCAATGAACCAATCCTATCGGAGGACGCGGGTATTGATAACCGGGGTAGAGATATCGATGCGACTCTCGCCAATTGGCATGAAGCCCAAAATAACGTGATTTTAGCTTCGAACGCATCAAAGCACATGCTACAACTTCCTCGGATAGGTATATAAGTTCCCGTTCAACCAATCTGACGTCGCGGGCGCTTCCATCAAACCCATCCTACATCCAGTACCTGCACGTTGTCCCAGATTGCGATCATCGGCATCGAAGCGAATACTTCCTGCTACAGTTGCCGCAAGGCACGCAATCACAATGACGACTTCACTCATATCGAATGTTACCGAAGGCCATAAATCAACCAATCAACTCAATCCCTCCATCGTATTTGAACAATTTCAAGATTTACCCCAGACAAATCAACGACTTCTGGGCGAGCCCCATCCCACTGGCACTGTGAAACCACTGGCATTGAGGCCTTCTGGTCAGCACAAAGATGTTCAGTTGCATGAGGTCGTCCATGCTGTAGAATCTCTTCAGACGAAGGGCGAACTCACCAAGAAACTCGCCATTCACGGGGTGCTTTTGTTCAGAGGTTTGCCAATCCATGGCGCCGAGGATTTCAGCAAGTTCGCACACGCTTTCGGGTACAAACCACACGAAATCATTGGCATTGTAGTCGACAGACCGTTGTTGGCACCAAACGTGGCACCTGCGAACGAAAGCCCAAAAGAAGTTCTCATCTACAACCACAATGAGTCACCCCAGGTCCCGCATGCGCCCGAATACGTTTTCTTCTATAACCACAAGGCGCCCGCAAAAGGGGGCGAGACCCCCATTTCTTCATCACTGGAGCTCTTTCAACGAGCCAAGGATGAAATCCCGGAGTTCATCCAGGCACTGACGGAGAAGGGAATTCTTAGCAGAGTGACCTATAAGTTCGACCAGCAATACACAGGAGGCTCAACCCTAGCGCAAGCTTTTGGAAAAAACTTCTTGGACGGTGACAGTGCGACCATGAAGCGCGAGAAGATCGAGGCACAGATTGCTAGATATGGAAGAGGCCAGCATACGACGTGGGAATGGATAGACGACGGCGTGATCCTGACGCATAGGCTACCCGCGATTCGTACCCAGCCAGGCACGGGACTTCCGACGCTCTTCACCGGATTAGCCGCCTACTGGAAGAACTCTCAAGGCGGACAAGGGGCCAGAAAGGAAGTCACCAAACAGCTCTACGGCGACGGCACGCCAATCCCAGACAGGTATCTAGAACACTTGGCGAAGATCACAGATGAGATCCGAGTACTCCACAAGTGGCAACAGGGCGACGTTCTCGTCTTCGACAACGTTATTGCTCAGCACGGCAGACAGCCTTGGGAAGGCGAACAATCGGATCGTGTGGTGCTAGCTAGTCTATTTGATGGAGACAGTGTGCCTGGAGCATATGGTGACGGCGACTGGGCCCAGGTCGTTCAGGCCTTGGACGGTTGACGATGTTGAAATTGGATGGGTATCTTGACAAGAGGCGACACACTTGACTTGTCTTCACGCTTAAGTCAACGGAGACTCTTTGAAGAAAAGAAGAAGATGGGGTGACTATGATTATATTTCGACTGATGACCACATTGCTTTCTTCAACAAAACATGAACGAACTGAACCCAAATGTGCTGTTGAGGCTGTCAGAGGTGGTTGGCAATTTGGGCCATGGCCCAGATTTTCGTGCAGTCTAAGGGGCTACTACTGTCAGACTAGTCTCCTCGAGCTTAAACCAGGTGTGAAATTTTGATTGGAACTGAGGGAGTCGACTGATATCCCAATCATTCTCCCTTGCAGCACCCTTTCGTTACATGAAGTCTCCATTAGGATTCCTAAGCTCACCCCTTGCCTCGACCATAGGAATGGGGAGCTCACACCATTTCCGAGAGCTCAGGCACCAGGCACGAGGACGGTTGAAATCGTCCCGTCGTCAAATTTTACAGTTGGAGCTTTTTATCCATCATACCTGCTGCCTAGTCTCTCTTGTTCCCTTTGCGAATTGCACATTGGTGATCCGGTCTCTCAGCCCCTTCATAGTATGGAGTAGAGCTCAGCCTATGCTCCCTAAAAGCCTGCGACACATCCTGGAAGCTCCAATATCGAGACGCAAGAAGAGTGAACTTTCATTATGTTTTCAATGCTAAAATGTCGGGGGCTTAGAGAGAGCCACAGCCAGTTGCTATTGAAGAATATGAAATAACGACCAGTAGCTGTTCCGCACATCATTAAACTACTGAATACTTCACACGGGGCAACAAAATGAAAAGTAAAGAATAAAGCAATTGATGTTTATTGTGTTGTCGGCTGAGTCTGGATCTACTACGGGACGCGGGTTAAAACCTGTACAAAGAAAGAGCATTCAAGTTCACATTTCATGGTTTTGCTACGATGAGCTCCCTACAGAAAGGGCTTGATGCTCTAATTGGCCTTTCTGGTGCGCTGGGGTAGTACAGATCATATCTTGTTTCCAGAGCAGGACAGTCCTTCATCACTTCAAGGCTTCTTCATCGATTCATGATGACGACATACTAAGAATCCTAGACCGGAGACGGGCATTGATCCATAATGAATTATTCAGGAAATCTTTCCAAAAACGACAAGATATTAGTAAGATCTTAACTGATCATACTTTGAGGTCCCCGGATGTACACTGGAAATTCAGTAGACAATTCTTCCATGGGCTCGAGAATTGAGTTTCTATCGTGGCTATGCCAACAAGGCCGTACCTTACGGGGTTTCTTCACATAATTACAGGCAGTGGCGGCATGCCGTTCCCAAGATACCAGTAGTTGCGGATGGCGTATCGACCTCCTTCTCTGTTCCAGTATGGACCAGACGATAGATGCATGATTCTACTGAGACCGCATGAACCTTGCTGTGAAAAGTCTGAAAAGCGTTCGGCCTAGCGAATTGGGCCGTGACATCGGGACAAATAGTTATCTGCCTCAATACAATTGGTATCGCAATCCAGTAGCACCCGACATGATGTTTACCCTGTTGTCGTTTAGCGTCGTTTCGAGCTCCAGGTGCGAGATTCTTCCGCGAATGTGTGCGTGGCTCAATGGAGGCCGAGATTGATGGCTACATGTACAACGACTTCAGAGGTGGTCTAGCTGAAGATATTTGGGAACAGTGGATGAAACTGAAATGTTCAAATAGAAGGAAATCTTAAGGACTCGACCGTCGATCTGACACTACGGACAGGGCATATTCCGCAGTCGACTGCACCGCCAGGGTCGTGAGGACACGTTGAGTAAACACATCTTGCATTGAGATGGTTTGAGGGAAGAGAGTGGTTATTTATGTCTGAATACTAAGTGTCTCCCTTGAGTCGTGGTAACCCCAGTGCCCTGAGGCATCTTCTTGGATGTGGTGGGGGCTTCGGCTAGGAGCAAGGGAGGGACGAGGCGAGCAGTCAGCCCGTAGCTCCACGGACGACATGTGCCAAATCAGGGAGTGCACGTGACTTTGAGGCTTGGGAAGTGTCAAGAGATGCATATTGCGAAGGCGTGTACAGGATTTAGGTATCAGAAGATGAGAAGGGACATCGAACTGTTGTCATTACCCAATCTTGTTTGTGATATAGGTAGTCGCTTGATGAGATTGCTAACAGTTGAATAATATCTATCTTAGTTGATTATGAGAGTTGATGTGCATTATCTGCAATGTTAAGATATGAATAGTCACCCAGAATATTCTCCAGGGATCCAACAAATACTACTCAGATCATGATTCACTCGAAAGCTGTCCAAGCCAATACAAATATCAGACCTAAACAATTGAAACAGCACTCACTATGCCTGGCTTCATCGACGAAAGGATAAGCGGCCGATATCAGATACTGAGGTTATACCCAAAACGTAAAACCATCAAGCTCTTTAGCCTTGCGAGACCAGGGCATAGATCTTTCATGGTATATTCTTTGAGAAAACATTATTCCTTGACTTCTTGTTTTAAGACGCCATGACATCCTTCCGTTGTCTCGGATCACTTCAGGTCATGATAGGTGACTTGGGGATCTGCCTACTTTATTCGATGACCAACATGGTAGGATATGAAAATCGGCGTCGTACCAAGGTTCATTCGATTGAGTATATGAGAGGGTCCCGACCCTGGCATTTTTTCAGGATCTTCTCGACATTTCGATGAGACCCCTCAAAGGTTTGGTCGCAGCTGCCATCTACACCAACATGCGGAATCCTCGGACATCAAGAAATTAGCATGTGCACAACACCCCGGAAGCCTATTGATACGTCTAATACAAATTGATTAATGATTCTGATACCTGTTATCTATATATGAGGACCATAATCGGAAATCACCTTCGTCTATTGTCAAATTACAGGCTTTGACTATCTAGATTATAATTATTGCTACATGTGCCTCAAGTTACACGTCTACAAGGAAATGAAAGAATGGTTGAATTCTAGCACAATTAAGCAGCCATCTCAAAATAACAGCTGCCTTAACCAGAAGTCTTGCAAGCCAAGCTTCATCGGTGTTTGGACTCCGTTAAGATGGTACCCTCAACATATTCGATCCTCCACCATCGACTTCATAGTCAGATGCCAGCAGAAGCCTTCGTGATTATTACCTTGTTAACAGGGCTGAATAACATCAGTTTACATCAGGTCCATGTAGTTACAGACAAATGCGTTGGTTTGTGATATGAATCGACGAATTAGGAAAAGCTGTCACCATTTTGTTCTCGAATAACAATGGTCATGTGCACGTAGTCCAAGGATTCTGCCAGGGGAGCGTAATTCTTCATGTCACCAACAAATACTGAGGTTTCCAAAATATCTCATCTTATCGCATCGTCATGCAATATTTACATATTAATTTACGTTGCAGCCAATATGTACTTTGCATATGTATAAGAACTTCTAACTTCACAGAAGTCTATTTTGATGCGAGCAATAAGCGGACCTGAAGGCTGGATGCTCTCATTTATGCCTCAGTCAAAGCTCGATGGTCTCTAAACCAATGTATCTCGCAAGACTTCTCGTATACCATTGATGTCTATCAAAAAGTCATAACGGAGAATAGGGAACGGCAAACTCAGGCTTTCTATACCTCACTACTTTCTCGTCAAGCCTATTCCCACGAACAACATTCGGCAAGAATTTCCAGCAATGATATCGATTCCAGGATAGTGACGCAATTTCTGTAAGCTTGAGTTGACCCTTTCATATGGATTCTACATCTGACATAACATTGTTGAGAGGTCACTTATGGCTCTCAAGAGAAATGAACAAAAAAATGGCTTATGTCGATGAAACCAGGGAGCAATAGAAACACCATGATTACTACGTATACCTTTCATATTCATCCTACCGACCTTCCAGCGATTTGAAGAGAATTCTTGGACTTGCACCTTTGGTTGGGTTCATGTATCTGAGTTGATATTGTTGTCTTCCAGACCGGCCTCCGGTTTTCAGGTGCCAAGCGTCAAGTGCATGCACCAAAAGGGCCATGTCTAGATGTGGACCGTCAAGTTCTCACTCCTCACCGGTATTTCGAGGCGATCAAACATGATGCAAAGACACTCCCTCCCTCTTGTGTAAGAGGAGTTGACTCGAGCATACTCCATTTGTCCACGACCTGAAGCTATTCTTGTCTTATGCCCTGCATTCGTTGAGATGCTGACAATGTGGATGTCGAGGCATCCACAATCCATTGCAAACACTGGAGACTAACAATGGATACGAGCGAAATAGGCTTTCCTGGAATCTCAAATATGTCACTTCCGCTTTTCGAAATTATCCAAACATTCAATGGCCTGCATCCGGAATCCAAGGTTGGCTCAACGAGGGACAGAGTGTGGGGTAGTCACGAGGGCAACCAGCCTTTATAATGGCTCGCTTATGCAAGGACAACAACAGAATCCTCTCGTCTCGTAAATTTAAGTCTGTTTGGGGAGAACTAATGCCGTCATGTTCCCTCTCTGCCCCATTTAGTGCCGAGAATAAGAAAGAATGCACCAGCGAGGGATGATATCGTGCATTTTGCCGCTGCGGGCTCCGTCTCCACTTGATACACTCAACGGGCCGAGACCATCAAAACCAATGTATGACTCGCTGACCGGCGGTTGGTTCCAATGGATCGGAAGATCGAGAGCCGCACGGTGATAGACAGGGCCATATCGGTTTTGGGGACATGACTGGAGTCACCGGGGCGGGGCCGGTGCGACGAAAGGAGGTCGGGTGCCCGAGACTGAGAATGGATACGGGCAATTTGGCAGATTCCAGGTGGTAAGATCTGGCCCAGGGATTCCGAAAATGTTCATTGTCGTCAACGAGAAAGCTCGGGAGGGCGCCGGGCGGAACGCCACAGACAAGACCCAATTTCCAAGCTTAGCGGACGGGAATGCACGCTTATTGAAATTTAGCGATGTTGGGTTTTGTTTTTTTTTGCTTTCCTTCGTCGGACCTATTGATTGGTCCCTTGTTGAGGCGGTCTCCCTCGTTGGATTGCGGAGAAGGTGAGACATTGCCAGCTGATGAGTTCCTGACCGAGGTGATCCATTCCTAACCTCCTGACTAAACTCAATACGAACGACGAGGAACGAGACATGAGAGCGGAAGAATGGGAGAAACGAGACACGGAGACTGAGTTTGGTGGCGCTTGCTGTAGGAAACTCTGTGTTCGTCCAAGGCATGCAAACTCATCTTGTCACTCAGGAGACAATGCCCCATGGCAAGGGAGAGAGGCATGGCCCAAGGGCAGACTGGAGTTGCCAGAGACGCCAGAGACATCGTTTACGATGAGATGAATATTTGCCTGACATGAGGGACCCAAAGGGAGTTTCCAGAAGGTATAAGAAAGACAAGATTCTCCAGCTTCTATCCAACTTTCCTTTCCCTCCTCACCCTCATCATCATTACACTCCGCATCCTTAGCTCCTCTCTTCCTCTCTCTTTACCTCGTTTCACTCGTTTACGACCCGAGGTCTAGTCATTCTTTTACTTGCTTTCGTCACTCGCTTAGTCATGCGTCGCACGGCTCTCGTCGCCCTCATGGGCCAGTTGGTTATGGGACAGAGTTCTTCTCCCTTGTTCCCCAACACCACCACGACCTCCACCACTCGCAGCTCGTCGGTCACCACCTCGTCCTTCTCCACAACCCTCTCGGGTTCCACGTCGGTGACCACCATCCAGACCACCTCAACCGGCCAGACTACAATCAGCAGTCTGACCACCTCCACTGGCTCGGACACCACTGCGACGACCGAGGTCCCCATCACGACTTCCGACATCGTCACGACCATTGACACCACCAGCAGCTCCGAGGTGCCTCCCATCACCACCGATGGCTCCGAGACCTCCACGGTTGACACCACCTCCGCCACCACCACTGGCACCGAGACCAGCTCGACTTCGTCGTCTGCCACCCCGTCCGCCACGGTCATTCCCAACCCCAGCAACGTTGGCAACTTCTCTCTTCTTGGCTGCTTCGGCTCCACCACTGGTTTCCCTACCTTCGACCTGGTCCTGTCTGCCTCTTCCATGACCCTTGAGCTTTGCGTCGCTTCTTGCCCCGCTGGAAAGCGCTACGCCGGTCTGTTCGGCTCCGACTGCTTCTGCGGTGATATCGTCAGCGATGCCACTGCCACCCGTGTCTCTGAGGATAGATGCGACATCACTTGCCCTGGCAACTCTGCCGAGCGCTGTGGTGGCCGCAACACCAGCGGATCCCTGAAGCGCCAGCTCATCTCTGCCGAGATCCTGTTGACCATCTACATCCGTGTTGATGGCGGTATCGATGTCACAACCACTGCCACCGTCACCACCACCTTCACTGCCACCACCACTGCCACCATTGACGGTACCGCTACCACCGGCGTCACCACTGTCACCACCACCTACTGCCCTCTGTGCCAGGACTGCCAGGGTCCCTTCTGCTACAAGCCCACTCCCAACCCGTGCTCCAACGGCAAGTGCTTCGGCGTTCCCTGCTACGGTGATGACTGCTACAAGAAGATCGTTGCCTACGGTGACTACTGCGGTTACGACTACCCCTGCTACGGTCCCGACTGCCAGCGCCGTCTCGTCTGGGTTGATGGCACCTGGCACCCTGAGGTCTGCTCCGGATACGACTGCGGCCGCAAGATCAAGTGTGTCTCCGGCAAGTGCGACTATGTCATCAAGGGATCCGACTTCGATTCCGAGAAGATTGTCTGCTACGGCAACGTCTGCAAGGTCGAGTCCTGCTCCGGTGATGAGTGCAACAAGAAGTACGTCTGCAAGGACAACTCCTGCGTCTTCGAGTCCTGCCCGTACGCCGATGCCAACAAGAAGTACGAGTACAAGAACGACAAGTACATCGAGGTCAAGGGCTGCAACGGCTCCTGCCCTGTTCCCCAGCCTCCTTGCTCCGGCGACTCCTGCAAGATTGTCATCCCCGTTCCTCCCGTCACCACTGTTGGCTGCGACGGCACTACCTGCAGCACCATTGTCATCCCCCAGCCTCCCGTCACCAAGACTCCCTACGTCCCGGCTACCGAGACCAAGCCCGCCGCCAACCCCCCTGCCACTGGCGCTCCCCCCGCTGGTGCTCCCCCGGCCGGCACTCCTCCCGCCGGTGCTCCTCCCGCCGGTGCTCCTCCTGCCGGTGCTCCTCCTGCTGGCACTCCTCCTGCCGGTGCTCCCCCTGCTGGAGCTCCCCCTGCCGGTGCCCCTCCCGCCGGTGCTCCTCCTGCTGGAGCTCCCCCGGCCAACTCTGCTGCTCCCCCCGCGGGCGGCAACCCCACCGGCACTGCCACTGCCAAGCCCCCTGTCGTCACGGCCGGCACCAGCAAGTTCGCTGCCAGCTTCGGCGCTCTTGCCTTCAGCGTTCTTGCTGCCGCTGTCCTTCTGTAAGGGACTCGCCTGAGCATGGATGGATGTTCTCTTCTCTTGACTCTACTATGGGTCTGTTAATGGTTATCAGTGGTGGTTTGTGGTAGGAGTAGTGGTTTTCTTCGATAGTGGCCTAGCGGTTTTTGGGAGCATCTTCGGATCTCTCTGCTCGGCTATGGATGGACCTTTGACAAACGATTTGACGATATAGATAATAAAGCGTGTGTTTCGCCACATAAAATACTTTGCTTGTTCTGTGAAATCGGCCTCGCCTGTGACTCTATGGATGGCAGTTACGAAGCTAACAACGCCTCATCCTAGACCGGAGTGTTTACAGGCAACATGGTATACATCAACACTGAGAAGTCTATCTTCATTTGCAATTACTGCTCTGTGGAATCAAAGCTCATCCTGGTTGCGTACCGAATCAGTCAGTATGTAAGTCGCCTGTCTTTCCATTCGGCGGTCGGCCCCGATTCCGGGCCCACTTCCCTGTGCAACACCCGGGATCCACACGGGTCCGGGTGCCCGGCCGATCGAGGCTTGGTTCGGCAATATAATGGCAAGAAGACCAAGACTTCAAGTTCTTCGACGGCAAACGTCCGGCTGCTGCCACTTAAATATTCTGGTATCTGCATGTTCGATCGTGCTCATGTAGGTGAGATGCTGCTCTTAGAATTTGTGTCTGCAGCGGCCGGCGCTCCAAGCGTGCACATGGCCATTTATCCATTTTATGTACAGACAGCAGCAGGATATATATTCTTCTCACCACCGCAAAAAGTCGGAAGGCAAGAAGATGTAGGCATCGGCGTCATTCTTCCGGCCAAACGTCGCATCCGCCCCCTTTGCACGTTTCAGCACGTGGGAGGTCCAGGCGGGCGCTGTAACGGCGTTCCAAGGTTGAGATCAGGCACAGATGGTCCGTACTCTCTCGATTCCCTTGGAGACGCTCATGTGAGAATAGATGGGTAAATCGAATGGAAGAAGCAGCTTGCAGCAGATGCCGGACGCTATTGGAAGGGGCTTCGTTTGACTAAAGTGTACTAGCAAGACTTGGCAGGCTGACAGGTGAACTGTTAGCTACTTAGTTGATGGATTAACTTAAGCCTTGAGTTGTCATCAATGATCAAGCTGAGGGAGGCTGGGCACTTGGAAGAGCTGACTGCGAAGAGCTGACTGCGTCTCTGGTTGGTTGCAGTCCCAAACATTCCCCTTCTCCGTTTCCAACAAAAGCTTGTCTCAGTGCGCGTTCCCCCTCAGCTGGCCACGGCCTGCGACCAAACGACTGTCAGGCCAAGGAACCACAATGTGGGAGGAGGCCACAGAACGACCCGGTACTGCAGTGATCGCACCGCATCTCGGACGGTCATGCCTGCATGTCGCAAAGCCAATTCCTTGCTGTGCCTGTGCCTGTGCCTGTGCCTGTCTTCCTTCTTCGAATCCTGCCCAGTTCTTCTGTCACATATCCGTCAGTCCGACTCTTCATAACCGCCCAGCGCATTCCTGTGAGCTGAGCCGAGCCGTGAGCACGGCAGCTGTTGAGTTCCATAACCGATGAACATGTTCTGTGCCTGGGAGCGTGCGAGCAAGCTGTTCCGAAGACGACCATTGACCACCACATCACATCGGCTACACACCGACACCACCTTACGACGTGACTGAACATTGACCTTTCCAGACGCGGCCGTGGCTCATGGATGAACTTTAACTTGACCAACATGTCCTCCTCCTCCCCCGCGTCTCCCACCCGCACTACTACCGCGTCTCCTCCCCATCATCCTTTTACCACCCGATTCTCGCTTTCTAGCTCTTCTTCCCCCTCGAATTACCCAGAGGAACCCCACTTCTCTCATCCAGCCTCACAACAGCCATCGGCGGCAGCGTCAGCACAGCGCATAAGCAGCGACTACGGCATTCGCCATCTGGGTTCTCAACAAGTCACTGAAAAGCAGAATCTGACTTCACCACCGGCGAAGCTGTTGCGCTTTATCGCTGTTCTCACAGCACCAAAAGAGGGCCATCATTGGCGGTTCGGGAATACGAGGGAACACCGACGGGAGGACGCTTCAACCGGGACGAGGGCTCCTCGCCCGACTCACACCGCCATGGCGCCCGACGCAAACAGCAACTTGAACGGAGTCACATCCCAGCTTCGGACCAAAGACCAGAATCAGGATGGCGACCAGCAGCAGCAACTGAAGAAGAAATGGAAGAAGATTTGGCTGAAGGGTCTTTCTGTTCGTATCCGGTCACGCAAGGATTCGCCGCGAGCAGCAGGAGCAACAGCAACATCATCAGCAGTACCACCGCCACCTGTAAATGTAGGAGGGGAGACGGACCAAAGCGTTGAGAGAGGCACCCAAACCGCAACACGCAATCACAACCAACACAATGTTCGCAGCAGCCAGAGTCGCACGCTACGGCATTCAGGAACGCTTGCGCACCCGAGCGAGTCAGACGCCGTGACGGACTCCGGCCTCTCCTCCTCAACCGCTGCCACCTCCGCCTCGCACTCGCCCGCTACATCAACCACCGCTCAGACCACCGCCGTACCCTCGAGTTCGTCGTCATCCTCGTCCACTTCTCTCAGTGTGAGTGTCGGTGCTTCCATCGGAAACTTCCCATCGTCCTCCGCGCCGTGTCCCACGTGCGGACAGCGCCGCCATGTTGACCTCCATCGGCCCCCGACGCCGGTCAAACCCGAGGACCGGTTCCAGTTCCGGTCCGGGGTCCCGTATGGGCCTTGGACAATCACACACCCTCCTCCTGGTCCGCCGCCAACAGCTGCGCCATCGCAGATTTCCTTTGAGCTCCCCGTTGTCCAGCAAGTGGCCTCCTGCTGCTCTGCCGAGACCCCTGGACCCCTCACTGCATTCCATCCCTTCGCCCGCCTACCACCGGAGCTTCGGTCCAAGATCCTGCGCTTCTATCTCGAACGGCCGCGCATCGTTGAGATTCGATGCATGAACGACTTGAAAAAGATTCATTTCGCGCCAAACGCGCTCGGGAATCTCGCCTCCAACATTGCATGGAGCGCAGACAACACGCTCCCGGCCCTGATGTGGGTAAACAGGGAATGCCGCGCCGAGACACGCGCATTTTACCGCGTTCAGCTACCGATGCACCCAACCAACAAGATCGCCTGGCCCGTCATCATCAATCCGGACTTTGACACTGTCATTTTTACGTTCCCCTGGAGCAGCGAGATACCCCTCGACATCTTCCTGAGCGACTGCCTCGCGTTCGACCCGCTCGGCGTAGGGATCCGACATTTCGGCACCCGCGACAGGGGCGGGCCGGAGACGTGGGACCTGACGCCTGTTCCGGGGTGTGCGCCGCTTGCAGAGAGCTTGGCGAACCTGGAATCTTATACGGAAGCAATCCAGCTAATGGACGATCGTGCGGCGGCCCGGTTCCCGGTTTGGATGATTCACGAGGGCTACCTCACCAGCGGCATCCCGGCCAAGAACGCATTCTACCGCGATGTGCCGCGGCTGCTCTTGAGCAACGACTACGAGCCCCCCGATGCGATGAATCAGCGCACGGCACTAGAGGCGTTGCGGACGCAGCTTGGGGACTATCTGCCCAAGAACGTGGCTGAGAACCTGGTCATGCAGAGGATGTTTTACCGCAAGTATTTCCGCCATTTGAGGATGAAGTGCACAAAGACGGATCTTGCTGGGCTGGGGATGGTGAGGCAAATACCCGATTGCGAGACGGAGGAGTTCTTTTTGAGTAATGGCCGTGAGGTTGCGGGACCGCGGAAGAAGAGGAGATCGGTACTGGATGTGAGACCTAGTAGCAGCTGGCATTTATGGGATGACGACTGAGTTGACGAGTGGTGAGCGAGAGAGTATGAGTTGACTCTCTCTTGACAGAGTCTTCGAGTAGAACAAGAGCTGTGTCCAAAGTACCCAAAAACAGCAAGGTGCGGGCAAAGGGAGATTTACCAAAATACCAGAAGAGATGAGTTTAGAGTTTTGAAAAACATATTCTGCGATACATATGCCTGTGTCCCTTCACCAAGCGAAAGAAGCAAGACGTTCTGAATCGGCCAATTGGGTATGAAATTCAAAGCCTGCCTCCTGAAGCAAGCTTGGGTATAATGAGAGTCAAGGCCGCCCCGTTTTCCGCAGCACTAGAGTCGTCAGGAGTATCTCCGCCGTAGTCATGTCCGTTATGTCAGAATACATGTGCCCTGCATGCAGTCTCAGCGCATCCAAATTCATACTCCTACCCGTGATCCCGTCCCATGTTACATGATTTTGCCCATCCGCAAGACCATGCGCCGGTGGGTTATGTAAATTACCAATGAGATAAAAAACAAAATAAGGGAGACTGAGCGCAGCTCAGAGTCTCTCAAGCTCGAACGAACGAAAGCCCGGGCAGCTATGCAAATGCGCCCTTCTCGTCCACCATCGTTGGCTGCAGAATCTTGCTCTGCATGACACCACCTCTCTCCACGCCTCTTTCGGCGGCGTTCGTCTTATCGTCACCTTTCAGGGCCTTCTTGTATCTCAAAAAGTCCCGAACAGTAAGCGCAATATCGAGTCCGGAGACGGTGGACCCTAGGACGAAGACTGTTGAGAGACTAAACCCAATAACCAGCGCCAGGTCGAAAGGAACAACTTGCGTAAAGCATAGAGCCACTGAGCTGAGATCGGCAAATCCAGTGATGACAGAGGCAAATGAGAGAATCAAGAAGAGCTGATTGACCATGACGCGGATATTGGGGAGACTGAGGAGGGGCGCCGGTGGCGTGGGGCCGGAGCGGGAGGTGTGTGGAAGTCCCGGAGGTGCGCGGGCCTTGATAGCGAGGTGCATCAAGAAGGCTGCCAAACCGACCATGGTCGTAAAGAGGCTTATGATCTGTTGAGACGCGGGTTAGGAAACGATGCTTACCGCACCAAGGTTGTTGGAGGGGAAGACATACACCGTGGGCAGTGCGAAAGTGAGATGACTTCGCAGTCACGAGTATGCCAAATATGAGAACGACAACCGCTGAAGGCCCCATAATGAAG